CGCCGCCGCCGACGCCGCAGTCGTACTCTTCGTGGTTGTCTGCATGGGCCAACCACCTTCCGTCGTTCGCCACCTGCTATCAATTACGTAAACACATCGATGAACGTAAACACGCTCGATCAAAACGCGGAGGCTCCAAAAATGCTTTCGTGAAAAATCCCAAAAACCATCGAGACATTCGATCAACATTTGTAAGATGTAAAAACGTTCGATCGAAATCTAAAAACTACAGAGATTGAAATTCGAAAATTGTAAAGATTATTAAAATGTGAATGGAACTCGTTTGATCACGTTGCGATTGACAAGACATTCACACTACTCACAATGTTTGTTCAGAAAAAACTCTGAGCACCGGTGAGTAGCTATGTGGTCAATCGCGATGTGATCAAAGGAGATGCTCCTTTATGCTTGTATCAGATTACGGATTGACGATTACGATTGACAGTTGCCCAATTCTACTTCAATCAATCACGATGTAGCGAGTCGTAATTGGCTGAAATAGAACCGGGCAATCGTCAATCATAATCGTCAACTCGTAGTCTGATACTCCTCTTAGAATGTTTGCTTATTCGAGCTTTCGAAAGCTCGACGAAATCACTCGAGATTTCAAAGTTATGGAGACATTCGATCGAGAGGATGATCGAGAATCACACTATTTGATTAAGAGAAAGTGATGAATTGCAAAACTTTTAGCATCTGACGACAGTTTCGTTCTTGAGGTGCAAAGTTATGTTCGAAGTAGTGATCTTGAATTGACTTTTAAGATTTTCTAGGGGTCAAAGTTCAGGTGGCGCGTTCAATCCTGAAGTGCTTCGTAAATGTGAATATGTTTTGATCAATTTTTGTGTTAAAAATGTAATACGTAATTAATCACGAAGATTTTTTTAAATAAAAATTTTGACAAAACATTTTAATTTTTTATTCATAATCTTTTTCTCTCTCGCGGGTAAACTTGTCGCGTTTTATATTTTTTCCTATAGTGATGAAACTTGATGGATATTGAAATAAAAAACATAGCGGATGAAAAACAACACGCAGCCGGAAAAAGGTATGATGTTATTTTCACCGGCTCCGGAAACCACTTGGAACCCTTTATGAAAATAGCAATGGCTCTCGTGAATAGAAATACAAGATTGGAATTTTTACATACTTTTCAACTCGGTACTCTGTTGAAATAAAACTCCATAAACTGAATAAAAACACTGAATACAGAGCGTCATATTTCTACAAGATGAACAAAATTAAGTTCATAGCATTAACAAATTCTTCTCTCTTTCTCTCTCCCTTTCCCTCTTTTCCCCTCTCCCCCTTTTCTCTCTCTCTCTCTCTCTCTCTCTCTCTCTCTCTCTCTCTCTCTCTCTCTCTCTCTCTCTCTCTCTAAAAATGTGAATTTTATCGGTAAAAACCCAGAGAGAATTCACAATTTTTTCAATGACTAATTTTTTAATTAAAATTAAAATTTAATTAAAATTATATAAAGATTAAAGTTTCGTTGTTCCATTCCTCAAGCGTTTTCAAAAAACCAATTTTTAACATGCGGCTTATAATGTAAAAACTATTAACATTTTCATCTAAAGAAAATTGATTTCTTGTTCAATAAAGACTTTATCATTAATTATATTATTGATCCTGTAAGAGAGGAAGAGATACTTCTTATTATAGATTATTACATGATTTGCGCATCATTTTTCGTCTAGACGCCTTCGGATTCAAGTTAGGCGTGTTCTGAGAGAATTTCACGCGACGGCCATTGTCGTGCGACCATAATTCACGGGATAAGATGGATTTAAGAGAGTTCAGCTTCACGACGTCTCTTACGCCGGAGATGATTTAGCGCGGAAGACCGGATAGTTTTCGTCTACCGCGCCTCTGATCTATCACATTTAGAATATACGAGAATGTACACGTTTGAGCAAAATTTATGT